TCCTTAGCTTAAGAAGGTCAAGCGTGGGTGTGGGCTTTCTCTTCTAACACAGACTGGTTAAGAAAATAGCGTTCCATTTTAAAAACGAAGTCCCAAATTCTACTCCTGTTCCATCAAAATGTATGAGGACAAGTAAATTGTGTCTGCGTGTGTGCACGGTATATGTATACGTGTGGATACGTGCATGCTTGAGTGTACCTGCACCTGTGTGGTATGTGCAGCACACGTGTGTATGTGCATATGATGTGTTTGTATGATGTGCCGTGTGCATGCGTGTGTGTGTTGGAAGGAAGTAAGGAGAGAGAATCAAACAGCACTCGCAGGCAAGACAAATATAGAGACGTTTTATGGAATTTTCAAACCATCGTCGATGGGTCCCCAGGTCACGACTCTCGTGATGCCAGGGGCTGGAAGGCAGAAAAGCGAAGCTCGGCTGCCGGCACTCAGCCGGAAGAGCCAGCAGAGGAGACCTCCTTCCCGGGCCGGAGCAGCTGGCTGGGACGGCGAGTCGGGGGCTGCCGTGGGAGGCTGCGCGGGACCAATGGCGCTGGCTTTCTTCCTGACCTGCTCTCCTCACCATTGCCTGGTTTTTCTTTGTCACTGAACAGCTGATGTGTTAGGCCGTGTGCTTCAAGGGCGTGGGGAGACTGCATGTAGGAGCAGGTCTGACCGGAAAGTGAGGATCACTGTGTCAGATGCCGCCCAATTAACTGGTGACAAGCAGGGCCGGTGGAGTCAGGGCCTGGGCTGTGTCTGCTAGGTAGCATAAGTGCTCGCGATTCGTTGTGTTTTTAAACCCGATGGAGTTTGTCTGCTCCTTCCGTGCCTCCTGCCCACTGTCTCTTCCCATCTGAGCCCCATGATTTCTGCTGATGTGAGTATCAAGACTGACAAGTCCCTGAGACATGCTCTGGGCTCCAGGACAGCAGGGCAGGGCTCGCCAAGGCGGCTGCAGCCACAGACCATCATGCGGCACGCGGGTGGAAGCGGAAGTGCCAATGCAGTTCAGCATAATTAGTTCTGCTCTCTTCACGGATGGCCAAATCACGTGAGGATGCTCCCGGTTGAAAAGGCTTCCCCGATCTCTGCCCTTCTGTGAAGTGGCCACAGCACAGCCCTCCCACGCACGTCCCTCAAAGGAAGAAATCTGCATGGAGGGGTTAATTTCCGCCTCCACTTCCGCGTGGTGATGGAAGCTCGGAGCCTGTGCTTTGGACCAGCCTGGCGTTTCCTGTAGCCCCCCCCCCCCCCGTCTTCCTGGGGCACGGCTTCACGCACTACCTCGAATCAGATGAGGATGTGAGCTTAGGGAAAAATGATTCGGAAATTATGGGGGAGGTAAGATGATACGGCATTAAATGCCTGATATTCTGAAACACAAATCTGACTTTATGTGCAACTGCTGTTTTGGATTATCCATGCCTCCTCTGGCTTCAGCCAGCGTGGAAAATGCTTTAAGGTTCCCACTTCAGTCGGTTCCTCTGGGGGCATTTTCTAACGCTGTCAAGCTGGGCCGAATCTCTCTCTGCCTTGTTCCCGGAAGGACGGCTGCATGAAGTTTCTGTCATTGAACTGACCTCCTTGCTTTCACCATCGGTTCGTTTATGTGGCTGTCTGTCATCGAACCTGGTGTCCTCTGTACTTAGGGTCCCTCCGCGGCCCCAGTGCTCGAGCGCACAGCCTGGCACGCGGGGGCCGTGGAAGGGACACTGGAGGAACGCGGGAGTGAGAACACTCGCAGCCCCAGAGAGAGGCCTGCTCATTGTCACCGTTCACCAGTTCTGCAGGACCCATATCTGGCCATTTGTCTTCTCCCTGCCAGTCTCTTATCAGCCACAGAGGAAAGGAGAGAATTAATAGCTCACTGAATGGTGACCCCAGTGACCAGCACATCCATTGCTAATTGAGCGGCGGTATATTTTTTGGTCCTGGCCCCAGATGAGTTACAATGACGAGTCCGAAACCTGGGCAGCACTGCGTCCTGTTGAATTTGGGGACCCTCTCCACAGAGGATTCTGTCTAAATGACCCCCACATGCAGGGACAGCAGAAAATGCTGGGGATAAATCTAAGATGCGCATAAAAATGTGTTTGCAAAGCCATGTGAACCTGGCATCTCATTAGGAGGAGTGAATCGATATGAAAATAAGCCCTAGTGAATTATTAACCATTTTCTCATCATATCCAACTTTGAAATCACCTTGGCCTTAGTGCGTGTGTGTATGCATATATGTGTATTTATATTTTTATATGTGTGTATATATCTATATGTATATATATTTTTTGCATTTATTTCACAGGGGTCACTTATTTTAGGCTGGTATGTTAGTTGCATGCTTCCCTACAGCTTCCACGCAGTTTGATTTTTATGTGTGGAATGCCGTTCTTTGCAATTGCGAGTGCTTCCTGTAACTCCGACTTTTTACAGCCCAGTCTTCGGTCTCTCCCGAACTCACTGTGTCGTTGGAGACCCGCGCACTGCCTGTGCATTTATTCAGAGCTCCCGTTGGAAATGGGAGTCATGTGCTGTTGGCAGCGGGCTCTGGCGCGCTCCCTCACCAGCTGCGTGACTCGCCTGGCCCTCCGCTTTGCCAGCTGTGAAATGGGGATGATAATAGAGCTGCTCCGTAGGTATGACTATTAGTCCCTGTTTGGGACCGCACCTGACACGCGGTCCCTGTTCGCTACGTGGGTGTCACTGGTGGTGTGGCGTATGTCCTCACAGTGGATTTCCAGTGCCGCAGCAAGATCTCTTGGGTAGCAGCAGGGGCTCATGGCTGGTGTTCCCATCCTGCCCTTCGGGGTAGAATTTGGCCTGTGTGGCCCTTCACATAGTGGCTTCTGCCAGCTCTGTGGTCCTGCACAACCTTAGTCCATCCCACCCACCGGGGAAGCCCAACTGCAAGTCCGTTTTTCTGCGCTGTTGACTTCCCTAGGGCTTCGCTGCACTATGTTACTACTGCACCTCCATGTGTACGCTCACCGGAGGACATGTTTTTATCGGTTTTAGAGAGAGGAAAGGGAGGGGAGGAGAGAGAGAGAAACACTGACATGCAAGAGAAACATGGATTCATTGCCTCCTATATGTACCTCAACGGGGGATCGAACCTGCAACCTTCTGGTGTACAGGACAATGCTCCAACCAGCAGGGCTACCAGCCAGGGCTCTGTGCATGGTTTAATCACCCAAAGAAACAGAAGTTCTTTCACTGACTCCAACAAAAGAATAATACTAGGTTCAAACATTTCTTGGAGTTCTAAAAAGTTTCCTTTGTCTTTCACCTCTTCCTTCTGGAAAATTTTACCAGTGAGAGTTAGCCTTGTCTATATCGATCCTTGACTAATGATCTTCGAAGTCTGATGACTTATATTTGTAAAGTGAAGCCAGGCCTCACTTGGTACTTACCCTTTTTTAGAAGAATCCAATAACATTCGACAGAATTGGTGATTAATGCTGAACTGATGAGTGCCCTTTGGCTTCCATTTTCAAACCCGAAGCCTTCTTGCGCTGACTTCATGATGCTGTCCGCCTGCCTTGGGGACGCTGGGGCTGAGGGTCCCAGGAATCGCTGTTTCCATCGGTCCGATGTCAAGCCTGCCTGGGACTTACTTCCCGTACGATTATCCAGGCGAATATGGCTGCCCCCTTATTACACCAGCGAATGGCGGAAGGCACTGGAGCCCAGCCAGACCTGCTCCCACTGGACATTCTCCTGGCCTCCTTGGTTACACCGAAAACAGTACTGCTTGGTGGTTTTTTCATCAGGCTCGTAGGGACAGGTTTGGGATGTTGGTGACGATGACGATGTACGGGAAATGTCATGTGGGATGGGGTCTGTCCCACACCCCATCCCGTGTGCGTTGACCAAAACAGGGCCCTGAGAGGCCCGGACGGAGACCCCGGGCTGAGAGGCGGGCAGCGTGGCTCCTGTTTCCACGCACTGCAGCTCCAGTGCCCACAAGCCCTCCAGCATCAATTGTCTTCGAGAATGAAGAGCGGAACTGAAATATTGATAAATACCATAATAGCCATAATAACAATAATTATAGAAATGGCAACAACATTAATAATTACAACCACCGTCTGAGGGAGACGCGTCTGCCGCCGCCGGCTCTTCGGGGCGCTCACGTGGACAGCCCGTGAGTGACCACCGGCAGAGGGAGACCCTCTGGTGGCTCAGGGGAGGAAACAGAGGGACTCTGAGCTTGCCCCGAATCCACCAAATCCTTTTTTTAAATCCTCACCCTAAGATGCGTTTTTATTGATTAGAGAGGGGGTGCAGAGACAGTGCAGAGAGAGAAGAGAGAGGAAGAAACATGTATTGGTTGCCTCTCTTGTGTGCCCCAAATGGGGATCGAACCCGCAACCTAGGCATGTGCCCTGACCGGAAACCAAACCCGGAACCTTTCTCTGCACTGGGATGACGCTCCAAACAACTGAGCTACGGGCCAGGGCCAAATCGTTCTCTATTACTAGAGAGCCTCTTTGGTCTGCTGGGCCATAACAGTCACCCATTCCTTCTGCATTTGGTGACTGCCGGGCACTGAGTTTAGCTTGGGTAGGAGCCGAACTCACAGCTCTGGAAGCTGGGTCATTGCCGTCTGCTCCCTGGCGGGATCCTGGGTCTGTGGTTTTCCAGGGAAAGGCTCTGCCATCCCTTGCTGCCACAGGAAGGGAGTTGCTCCTTGCTCCCATCCTCTTTCCCATGCCCTGCGGCCAAGGTCCTGGCTCCGCGGTGGGAAAGGGGAGAGGCTCAGGGCGTGAGGGGTCCACACCAGAGCCCGGACGCGCTGCCTTTAGCAGCGCAGGGCGGGGGCGGCTCTGGGCCGGGCTCCACCTCTGACCGCTGCAGTCACTCCAGTGGGTTCAAGTGTTTTCCCAACACGGGATCTCGGCATCATTACTGGCCTGACCGAGACCCTTTGGTGTCTGTCTGGCTTTGAATTGAGTAGTTCTGGGCTTTGTTCAAGCTTTGCCTCAACTTTGGTTTCCGCTTTGCAGAAACCAGCGTGAAGGAGAAGGCTGTGAAGTACATGGACGTGCTCGCGGACAAACTGCGCAGGTAAGGACAGCGGTGCCTTCATTCCGACGCCGCGACCCACCCGGATTCCGTATTCTAACCATGCTGAGTGAGAGCGAAGAAAAAAGCTAGCCCACTTCTATAATAAGTTAACAAGGAAAAAACACGAAAAAGGAGTCCTTTGGATCCTTCATGGAGGAGGTGGGCGTCACACAAACACCCCCCAGCCCTGCTCTTGTAAGAAGTAAATAGAGTGAAATGTTTACAAGTGTCTGGGGGAGATCACAGACAGTTTTCATGTTTTCTAAGAAAAAAGAAGCTTCTCTGGTTTCTTAGGTTCACGCTGCACACTGTGGACTGTTTTTCTTTTTCTCGTCTGAGGGGGTGCGTCTCACCGTTCCGACCCAGCTTCTACATACTTGGGAACAGCGTGAGCATACACACCTTAGGTTCTGTTTTGAATCCTAATTCAAAACCAGCGTGACAATTCCTGGTGGCTTTTGTAAAAAAAATTCTAACCCAGTTAGGTATTCAAATTTGAGACCCGTCAGGGACCCTCTGGCCCGTCAAGATGTGTCTGGTTTCTGTGGACATGTCCTCCTGAGGGTAAAGCCCAGCTACCAGGACCTGCTTCTGATTAAGGAAACAAGTCCGAGCATGTAAAATGTGCTGCTGCCTCCCTGAGCGTCGTCAGGATTCGTGGAGACTGTTTTGCTCCTACCTTGGAAATCGTTACATAAGTCTTTACGTCGTAGGCTGTGCCTTAGACCTCTGTCTGCTGAGATGGACCGTCCGCTGACATACTGCTTCTCCCTTCAGAGATGTCAAGGGGGGCTGTGCTGCTGAGCTCTGCTCTGCTCTGTGGGGCAGGCAGGGGCTGCAGGGTTTACTCTAATGCTTGGAAAGCAAGTCCTTCTGGCCGCTGCCTGGTACCTCCCTGCCTCGGCCCCCGGATGTGGGGAGGGCCTATGACAAAGGTGGTCAGTGGAGACCGTGGGGTAAGAAGTGTCCGCTGAGGAAATGCCTCTCCTCCTTAGAAAGTAGGATGCTCACCTGGACCGGGTGCCCTGTTCTGAGTGTGCATCTGCCTTTCCCATTCCATGGCACTTTTCTGCATGTCCCTGTCGATCTTAACCCTGACCACCATTTTTGAGCCATAAGCACCATACACCCACCACATTCCACGGGGTTACTGGGCAGCAGGTTGAGGCCCCAAGAGCTTGGGCACTGTCACCTACCTGACTTCAGGTACGTGTTCACCTTTTGTTTCCTCTGCTGTAAGCGTGAAGGACAGGCACGGCCTTCCTTGGGTTGGTGTTTGGGTTTTGTTAAACCCTGAACTTGGAGCACTTTTGCAGCCGGCAGTCAGCCCGCCTCGATTCCCTTGGCCTCGCATTTCTTTCGATCCTCGCTGCCCTTATCATCTGAACTGTGGGAACCGCCAGGCTCGGGACTGAGCCTCTTCCCTCCCAGCCAGCTCCTCCCTCTGCCTGTCCAGCCCGAGGCTGCGCTCCTGGTCCGCCACCCTCGCGCCACCGGCTCACACTCTCTCCCTCCCGCGTAGAGTCAGTTACCGAGTCCTGCCAGTCTGCCTCTTCGGGTGCTCGTGCCTGCACCCTCACGCTAGGGGGGTCTGTCTCCTCTCACGAGGGATGGGAATAGCTGCTTTTTGTGTTTCCTGTCTGCAGTGTTGCCCTTTCTGCGGCTGGTCTGCAGTGAGCATCCAAAATGCACACCGGCCATTGCACATCCCCGCTGGCCTGCGGAGGAGCCCTGGACGCTTTCCTGTGGCTTGTGGTTTTCTTCATCGCGTGACCTCTGCGTGTTCTTCAGTGTCACCCATCGCTGCCTGGCTCCAGTGGTCCCAATTGGCTTGTGTTTCTCAGTGCTGCTGTGGTTTTTCTGTGTTTTCTTCTACTTCAGAAGGAACTGGGCAGGAGATACAATCCAGGGGAATGTGAGCTCGAACCCTGGGAAATTACCGATACTAGTTCTTTTTGGACATAGAAAAAATGGCAGTTTCATGTGGTTCAACCACATTCCCATTATGTGGGAATTAGAAGCAACCTGCAGGAGGGTCTGCTTCTTGTGGCGCTGGCCTGCGCCCAGGTGCGCTCGTTCTCACCGCCCACCCCTTCACGTGGGCCCTGCTGGGCCCTCCCAGCTGCACCCCCAGCAGCCTTGCATCCGTCTAAGCCCTTCTCATCCCTCACGTTTGGGATGCCTCCTCTTTGAAGCCCCCCATGACTCCCCAAGACTTTGTCATGAGCTTGCACTGAGTCATTCTCCTCGCTGTCCAGGGGCTCCAGGTCAGGCATGGAAGGCGGTGTCTGTCTGTCCAGATGCATCCTCAGTGATTCGACAGCGCCACACAGTGATGTGGGGTGCCCGGCAAGTGTGTGCTGAACGAATGTTTAAATAAATGGACGAGCAAATGCTACGAACTCAGAGACCCCCAGTCTCATGTCCCACCACCGTCCGCCTCTCTCTGCCTCTCCAGCGTGCGGATGTGTGACTCGCAGGCATGCGTTCCTGAGGGTCCTTCAGCAGAGTCTCGGTGACAGGGTGGTAGCTGGCCCACCCTACAGCCGTCTCCCTGAGGGCTCCCTCCTTTGTTCAGCCAGGCTGCAGGAGGCTGGGCTCCGACTGGCTTGAGCCAGTGCAGTAGACGCTCTGGAATGGACAGGAGAAAAAGCAGCCCCACTCTGTAGCCTCTCCGGCAGCGGGCGGAGAAGCAGGCACAGGGTGCGTGAGTCTTGGGCTGCGTGCAGGCAGTTCTCTGGGTGCCTCAGCGCAGGAGGCCAGACCGGATGCGGGCAGGGGTGAGAATGGCCAGGCGCTCCCTCCTGAGACAGCCCTGTCCTCCCCCCAGGCTGGGGCAGTGGCAGCTGCAGGATCCTGTCCAGGCCCCGTCTTTCCAGAGAACCAACTTCTCTGAAACACAGGAACTGCTTTTAGCACCTGGTGCAGTTTGCAGCCTAGTGACAGCCCAATTAATATTGCAAGACATCGACTGAAGCCAGGGGATGGACGCGGATGAAGAGCTTGGCTGTTTGCTCCCACAGTCGGGAGCATTGCTTGGCCTCGCGGGGGTTTAAGAGGAAGAAAGTGAGAGCTGAGTGGGTTGCTCGGGTTCCCTTGGAAGGTTGTAGAAGACACGCTTTGCCATCGGTGCTCCAGGGAGCCTTGGGTCTGGCCAGGCATGCTTTGGGAGACCAATGGAACTGACAGGAGTAACTTTGTTCTTGTCTCAAAGCGCACCGGGACCTGGAGACCCAAGTACTGAGACGCCCTGGGGAGGGCTCTGCGTCTCACCCTCTCTCAGCAGAGTCAGAGGAGTCAGACTGTCGGGATGGTCCATGCAGTCAGCGCCTCGAGGGCATCCCGTGAAGTACACAACAAAAGGGGGACCAGTAGCAAAGGGGAGCCCTCAGTACCCATTTCAACTAGATTTGCCTTTTAATAATCCAAATCATGCATTTAAATCTGATTCAGGAAGTTTTTTTTTAAACCTATATTTTGAAAACCGTGATTTTACTTACTATCAAATAATGTTAAAGCTGCCAAGTATTTGATTCACTTTAAAGTATCTCGGTTACATTATTTTACATGCTCAGGGTGCCTATCAGCTGAGCACAATTGTAAATAGATGAAGAGTAAAATCCTGAATCGATAAGTTACACCCATAAACTATTGCATAAAACATACATGAGAATAAATCTAGATGTAGATATACATGTATAAAGCTAGATCTGTAGGGATATACATGTATCTATGCATATATAAACACGCAAAGTCGCAATGGAAAATGAACACATATCATTCTATTTGACAGTTCCTGTCAGTGACGATGCATTGAATGGATCAGGGAGTAGCCACGTCTCCTCCAGGGTGTAACTGCCATTGGGGCGAGACTTGGAAATGGGGGAGAAGCTGGCGTACAGCTCTCTCTGTCAGTGAGAGGCAGGGAAACAGCAAAACTTGAGGAGGGCAGGAACGCCTGGTTCTCAAGAAGATAACGGACTGATAAAAACATCTGAGTTATAAGTTCGATGCAATAGATCACGCTCCTGTTTGCCTCTCCAAAGGGCAGAGACTCTGTGGATTTCTCTTCCCCACCTGTGTCGGGGGTGGCCCTCCGTCCCCACATCCCGAGCTCATTAAATAATCTCACAGCCTCCCGGCCCCGCCCATGTCACTCCCTGGTTGTCTCTGCAGCCAGGGAGACTTAATTACTGCCCCACTCACAGTCCCCCAGGCCCCCTGCGAGCCCAGCATAATAAGTGCCTCACGTACGCTCATTCTTCCAGATTACGCAGGGCAGTTTTGAAGTTCCTGGGCACCTGGAACAACCCATTTTCAACCGCCATTGAACTGGTTTCAAAAGCTGTTGAGGGAAATGAATGTAAGCAGTGGAAGCCAGTGGACAAGCAACTGGCTGCCATGGGAACACTGTTCCCCTTGGCGCCGCGGAAAGGAAAGCCGCGCACGTGGACACTGTCACTTGTCTTTCCTGTTTTTAGGTGACTGTTTGGTTGCCGACGAAGGCCTTCCTCCTCTCCCTCCTGACGTGTAATCCAGCACGTCACCGCTTCCCCCAGCCCTCGCTTCTGCATGGAGAGCTCAGAGCCTTCCTCACCGCTTCCTCGTGGCCTTGACCCCTTTCCGTGTTTGTCTGCCTCTCGGGCAGACAGAGGCTCTCGGCTTCCCTCTCTCTCTCTCTCTCTCTTCCTGGACTTGGAGCCGCCTCCCTGCGCCCCAGCGGGGGGCTCTGTGTTCTTGTCTGTCAGCTGCACTGTCTTGTCTGTCTATGTCTCTCCGTCTTTCTTCTCTCAGTAGCAGAAGGACACTTTTAGGAGGCAGAGACTGGGAAGTGCATCACTGGCGTCCATCCTTGTCTGGTACCCAGATTCCATCCTTCACAGCCCATTTGAGGCCGCGCGGCCCACAGGGCTTTCCTGGTGGCCCCGGCCGGCTCCCGTCTGGTCTCCTATTTCCCTCTCCCGCCCTTTGATCTCGCGGCCTTGGGACAACGGGTTTCC